TATTCTAACAGGTTAACTATAAAAAAGCCTATGAACTTAGCAAGGGTAAACTGGTTGGCTTCAAGAGCCTCCAAGATGATCCCAAACTCGTTCATTATATGAAGGTAGCCAAGATGCAGTCTGAGCGCGAGTACAAGAAAGATTACGAGAACACAAAAACGAGGTACAACATTCCACTGGACATGGTTAATGTTGTCGGTGCCAAGAAGGCTCAAGAGATTGCCAGCAACGCTAATTACAAGAACCTCCTGCACCACTATACTTATTTACCAGATGCAATGAGTGTGGAGCTGACCAAAAATATGATGGAGATTCAGAGTGATGTAAGTAAAACCTCATTTTATGTGGAGAGAGTTTTTTTGAGATGCCTCAAGCAAAAACTGTGAAGACTCAGAAGAAGTCTCTGATTTGTTTCTTCTGATTCCTAACTTTTAAAACATTGCTTTCACTCCTTTATTAGAATGCTTACAAAGCAGATTATAACAGCTGGATGAAAGGCATTGGTTGGATCCCCATTGGCTCACTAGAAGTAGAAAAAGCTAAAAAAGCTGGAGATGCTTTGAATGAAAAGAAATATCGTCAGCATCCAGACACCATTAAATTTACAAGTGTGGTGGACTCTCCAGTAATGGTCCAAGCCAAACAGAATTCAGTTCAACTCAATGATGTAAGTAGAGAAAGAAATGGGTGTTATAGTGAAGCAGAGATGTATCTGCTGAAGAGTTGAGGATTTTCTCTAAATTTTTTTAAAGTACTATCAGCTTGAAAATGTTTCTCTGTGTTGTGCTTGTTTTGTGCTCGGATTTTGGCTGAGTAATTTCTGCAATACTGGTGTATGTCTGCAAAGCGCTATGGAAATAACATGGCTCTTTCATTTCGGATCAGGTGATTCCATCCACTTATATTTTAAGCATATCTGAAATACATTTGATTCAAGAAATGTGGAATTTTCAAGTTGTTTATTGATGTTTTACCACCTACAATAATGAGTGAATTACGGAATGTTTGATGAGTCACAGTATGTCCATCTTTATAAACCAGCAATCTTTATTTTATGTTACACTCTCCCACCATCCCTTATTATCCCATTCTTTCAGAAATTGATTTTTTGTGTCCATTGAAGGACTTAATTTTACTCAGTAAAAATAGAGCTTTTGGAGTGCATTCCTTCTATCAAAAAGATCAACAATTCTCAATCTTTGAGATAGCTGTCAGTGTACGTTTATTTGCAAAATCAAACATAAACCCTCAGCTAATTCACAGTGAGCTGAGCCTGGCTATACAAGGAAAGAAGGATTTATTTCTGTGTCATATATTTTACAGAAACTATACAGATCTTCTGGAGAGAAAGTTAAACATAAATATACTCTTACCCCAGATGTCCCACAGTTTATCCAAGCTAGATACAATGCAGCTAACATCAGTGATGTAAGTGACTTCTTTACAACGTTTTACACATTGTTAATGAATTTTTGAGTAGTATGTTACAGATACTCATATTGCAAACTCCTTTCACTGATATGCAGTTCCATATAATCAACTTATATCGCTGCAATTTTTCATTATTGGTGTCATTTGAATTTCCAACCAGGTACCATTTAATCATGTAATCATTGAACAAATTTCATTTAATTAATAGAGAAATCTGTTCTCATAAATGAAGACTGATGGTTATATATGATCCCCACTGCATCTGCTTCTAAAGAATTGCCTGGGGTAGCTTAGCAGGAGCTTTGACTTGCATATAGTTCATGTGATTACTGGGTTCCCTAGACTAAAATGGATTTTCTTTTTTAGGCGTATTATAAACAAGACTATCATGATCTAATAGCTAAAGGGAACAATGTGTCACTTGATGCTATTCCAATTGCTCGAGCCAAGGCTTCCAGAAACATTGCTAGTGATGTAAGTATCTATTCCAGGTATACTTTTCTTAGGCATTTAGTAAAAAAGTTGTCTGTTACAGCCCAGGTGGTAGACCCTCATATATTACACAAGCCTCACTAGAGTCTGTATTAGGAGAAAGATATTCTTCATCTTTCCCAAAGGCTTAGTTTGTGTAGAACTTATTTTATGCTCCTATTTGCTTTAGGTAGGCAAATGCTGCTGCACTGTGTTTCTGAACCCACTTTTCACAGGAGAAGTGAAAACAGTAGTTCTTGCAGTCATTCTGTGACAAATTTCCAGAATATACACGACGTTAGCACCTATTTACAGACCACGAGGCAGTATCTGCCAAGGGTGCTTTTGGTTCTACAGTGGCGTATGGCTTATACACGAACTGGAAGGCCTTGTAGCCCGAATTGTGTGGAGTGGGGTGTGTTTCAGTGGTTTCATACGACTGGAGGAAGCTGTCCAGTCGTATTCTGTTTGTTTGCTATTGCTTTCAAATGACTGAGAAGAATCTTATCAGTGGTTCTGATATTTTTCATACACCTTTCAACACAGGAATACTTAGGAAACGTTTTCCCTTCCTTAGGAGAAAAGCTAATGTTGATAAATCTTACTGTGGTGTGTGTAACCTGTTGTGTACTGGTGGAGCAAGAAAAGTTAATGTAGGTACAGTTGCTGACTGTGCCATTGAGGAGAGTTTGTCTTTCTGAACTGCTTGCAGTTTCTTTTTCCACTGAAAGTCGTGAGAGTTTTTCTTTTCTTTTGCATTAGTGTGGACATGAATAGCCACAATACATTTGATCTCTTTCCTCTTTTTCTAGTATAAATATAAAGAAGCATATGAGAAGGCCAAAGGAAAACAGGTTGGTTTCAGAAGCCTTCAAGATGACCCTAAGCTTGTCCACTACATGAATGTAGCAAAGATTCAGTCTGAGCGTGAGTACAAGAAAGACTATGAGAAGACCAAGACCAACTATCACACGCCTCCTGACATGTACAGTATCCAGGCTGCTAAACAGTCTCAGGATGTAGCTTCTAACGCCCACTACAAAAACCTGATCCATCACTACACTTACCTGCCGGATGCCATGGATGTTGAGCTTGCAAAGAACATGATGCAAATTCAGAGTGATGTGAGTGTTTTGATGATTGCAATTTCATGGGGGGTTTCCTGCACACTGTGAAAAATGAAATGCGAGTTTATATTAAATGTAAATTGCCATTACTGCATGGGAATGGTCTGTTTCTCTTATGTCTTGGGGAAAATCATTAGAAGTTTTATCAGCTGCTGGTGGCATTTGGAAATACCAAATTCCAGGTGAGTGCTACTCAACAGGATTTTGATGTTGACGTATTAGTGGAGAGCAGACTTCTGGAATACTGAATTCAAGTGAACTTTTTTTTTTCACGTTTTCTCAGAAAACTTTATTTTGCAACTAACATGAATTTGTTTTTAAGATTTCTTTTAAGTTGTTTTGTATTGTCTACCCATGAGACAGATGAGTGTAGTTGGGCTATTATTAGCTATCAAGGAAATGGAACTGTCAATATTATTAGAAATATGTTCTGGAGATCTCTAGCTTAAGAGATCTTTCCTAGGACCTTCTTGGTGCTTCTTGCAGATACAGAATTTTAAATAGCCTACACCTCTTTGTATACTGTGGAATTTGACTCTATATGGGTCCCTATGGAGGATCACTTATCAAAAATAGAGTAGCTTATTTTCTTCCTCATGAAATCACAGAGAAGCATAAAAAATATCTGTTTTTTCTTTCAAGAATTTATAAATATTTCCTGCTAATGTAGAACACGCTAGCTAGACTATGTGATTATTGTTTTAAACAGAATTATTCCAGTTCTGTGCAAAAATCTTGGTCCATGTTGGCTTTCTCTCCTTCAGAATGCATACAAACAAGACTATAACAGCTGGTTCAAGGGTATTGGATGGAGTCCTCTTGGTTCTCTGGATGTTGAAAAAGCTAAAAAAGCTGGAGAAGCACTAAACGAAAAGAAATACCGTCAGCACCCAGACACCATCAAATTTACAAGTATACCAGATTCAATACCAATGGTTTTAGCTCAGCACAACACCAAGCAACTGAGTGATGTAAGAGATTTTTCATTGTTAATGCAATATAGTGATTTTATTTTTTTGCTGTATTTATGATTTTTAAGTTAGTCTGATATTCCATCTGAAAAACACTTTAAATTTCAAAAACTGGAAAAATAGTAAAATTTCAGTCGATTGGTAAGAATTGAGCATTTTTGCATTGTCTCTATTCGTTAACACTGATGTTGACAAGTACAACGTAGGTAATGAGTATTTGTTTATTTTTCCTTGCAGGTGGCATATAAGCAAGAGGGTGAAAAAGTAAAACACAAATACACCCTGGATCCTGATGTTCCTCAGTTTATTCAAGCCAGGGTCAACGCCTTCAATTTGAGTGATGTGAGCATAGAAGCAATAGTTTGTGCAAGAGTATATTTATTTGTCATTTGCTTAATAGAAAAAATAACTTTTATTTATTCATGCTGTGATCCTGAATATAGAAACACGCAAGCTCTGAGTTCAGCTAAACTTTTACTTCGAGAAGTCAATGAGTTTTGTGCTTGTTAAGCAAATTATAGAACTGTCTGTGCACTTGTGAATATAAACACATTTCAGTGCTTTATTGCCAAACTGCTTGGGTAGATTGAATGAGAAAACCAGCATGACTTGTTATTCAGATTTCTATAGGTCTGGAGACTTATGTCATCTACTTTTACATGAAAGACACTGCATAGGCAAACACTAAACATTCTCTGTATGTTGCTTCCTGCTGCTAAACTTTCAAAGGAAATTAGCTCACCCAGTGGAAAGGTAGTAATGCCTTTTGCTGCTATTTAGCTACTAGCCCGCCTGCTTTCCATCACTGCTTGCATCCATCCAGCACCATTAAGGTCTCCACTGACAGTATCAATTTTATTGCCTTCATGATACTCAGTTTTTTTGGTGACATCCAGGAGCTAGGTAAAAGCTGACATCTCCTTTAACCCCATCCAGTAGAAAGCCTTGGAATATTATTAGTCTGTCCAGTTTGTTAGCTAACTACTAACAAAAAAATCAGTCAGACTGCTTTCATCGGTCACTTGAGACCACAAGGCCTGAATTTGAAGCTAACAGGAATAAAGTTCTGAAGGTTCAGTCAAATGAAAAGGGCTTTGCTTAGGGAAGGGCAAAAATGCCACTGCTAGAGTTGTTCTGCATAAAAATTGCAAAAAATGCTTATGGAGTTATTGATTTAGCTAGAAGAATTAAACTGATTGTCTTGAAGGACTCTGCTGTCTTTGTAGTAGATTTATTTATTATAATATAACTGTAGTTTGTGTACAGGTAAACATTTTTCCTTGCAATTGCACAGACTAAACTGAATGTTTTGATTCCTGTAACTATAATAAAAATTTGGGCTTAAACAACTTTATTAAAATTGCTACTCACAACACTGCTACGAACTCATACCTTTTTTCCCTCTAAGGCAAACTACAAAGCAGACTGGAAAAAAACCATTGCCAAAGGATATGATCTGAAACCAGATGCCATTCCTATTATTGCTGCTAAAGCTTCTCGAAACATTGCGAGTGATGTAAGTATGATTTACACAGAGTGGAACACGTGCATCTACTCATTACAGCTTTCTGTAACGTATTATGCTACAGAGCATATGCTATATGCTTATATTAGTATAGAGACACTTAACTCTGAGAACTGAAACTCTTCTGATACTGTGAAATAACAGTGAATTCAGATGTTTACATGAACCTCCCAAAAAACCTGTTTTTTTAGAAATGCATCGCATGGTGTATGCATGCTGGTGAGCTGGGACTGTTTGTTGTATGTGCTTCAAGTATTCAGCATCTTATTTGAAAGTTGCTTTGTTCTAATTTATTCTTAATTGCTGGAGACCTTTAGTTCCACTTGTCTATCATTCACAAGCTGTACAGAAATGTAGCTGTTTTCAGGCAGCTACATCACTTGGCAACAATAAAGCTTCGTGTGCCATCTGACGTAAGCTATGAAAGGAGATTTGGAACACAGGAATAAATTCACTAACTTTAGCAAAAGGCTGCAAATGATTTCCATTCCCCACTTAAACATGCCTCCCTCCAATAGCTGAATGCCGGGACATCTGATTGTTTGGTAGTCTTGGGCTTTTCAATAGTATCTTAGAATCGTAGAATCACAGAATGGTTTGGGTTGGAAGGGACCTCAAGGATCATCTAGTTCCAACCCCCTGCAATGGGCAGGGACATCTCCACTACATCAGGTTGCTCAAAGCCTCAGCCAACCTGGCCTTGAAGACTTCCAGAGATGGGGCAGCCACCACCTCTCTGG